TCCTCTTCACAAACGCTCTCCTCCTCTGGTCCCTTCACACACTTGAACCCAGAGGGAAAGGGAGTAGCCACATGACCTTCACTCTGGCCGAAGTTGGCAGCCAACGCCTCCAGGTACTTCCGTTGGTGCACTCGCATGCTCCGCTTCTCCACGTCTCGTTCGATGTGGAGCCCAAGGTAGAAGTTCACGTCACCAAGGGACTTGCACTTGAACTTGTCATGCAGCTTCAGCATCACCTCCTTCACAAGGTCAGAGGAGGGTGAGAATATAAGAATGTCATCCACATAAACCACCATGAAGCTCCTCTGCTCCCCCTCGCCAAGCATGAACAAGGAGTGATCGGCCGTTGAGGGAGTGAAGCAGATCCCCTCCAACACTTCGCGCAGCTTCATGTACCATTGCCTAGGGGCCTGCTTCAGCCCATAGAGGGCCTTCTTCAGCTTCCACACTCTGCCACTACCATCATCAAACCCCTCTGGCTGCGCCATAAAAATCTCCTCCTCAAGGATGCCGTTAAGGAATGCCGTTACGATGTCCATTTGTTTTACTACCCATCCTTTGATGGCGGCTCCCGCGAATAGGGTTCGCAGCGTCGTCGGCTTCACCACAGGGGCAAACAGCTCCTTGAAGTCCACCTTCTCCTTCTGCTGGTACCCCTTGGCTACAAGCCTAGACTTGTAGCGCTCGATCTTGCCGTCGGCATCCGACTTGATTTTGAAGAGCCACTTGGACGATATTGCCGTACGCCCCTCCGGTAGCTCCACCAATTCAAACGTGTCATTCTCCTTGATGCTCTTCAGCTCACTCTCCATGGCCTTCTTCCACTCCTCAGCATCACTACTCTCCAAAGCCTCCTTGAGAGTTGCTGGTTCTCCCGGCATCTCCACCGGAGAGAAGAACGCGAAGGCACACTCCTCGTAGTCACTCTCCTCGTCGTCTCCGACCATCATTGCCGCTCCGGCCAGGGCTGTCTTGCCCTGCTTTCCCAGCGCATCATAGGTCAGCCTATTAGGGGGTTGAACTCTCCTCTTTCCCCTTCCTTCCTCCTCAGCTGCAGGGACTTGAAGGCCTTGGCGTTGCTGCGGTGTGGCTCGAATCCGTGGAGCACTCGTAGTACGGGAAGGGAGTGACGGTGCACGCTCGCTCACTTGCTGCACCTCCTCCTCTTCTTCCTCTGCATCATTGGCCTCCTCTCCCCCATTCACAAGGGAGGATTGCCTTGTGGTTGTGCTGCCGCTGCTCAGCTCCAAAGGCATCTCCACATGCTCCAAACCGGAACTCTTCACCTCCCCAAACCGCACGCCTATCTTCGCCTCATTCTCCGCCTTCCAATCTTTGTACATGAAGTTCTCCATGAACTTGCAGTCCCTGCTCACCAAAACCTTCTTGGTGAATGGGTCCCAAAGAAGCCATCCCTTGCTGTTTTGAGCCATGCCCAAGTGCACGGCCCACACCGCCTTGGCACCAAGCTTGTTGTGCCGAAGATGCTTAGGCACGAGCGCCATGCACATGCACCCGAACACCCGAAGCATATCCACCTTTGGCTTCCTTCCTAGCCACTCCACATAGGGCACCCATTTGTCTGCTCCCACATGAGTCAAGGCTCGGTTCTTGGCCACACACGCGCTCCGCACCGCATCAGGCCAGAAATAGTCGGGTAGCCCGGCTTCAATGAGCAACCCGCGTGCCGCCTCCGTGATTGTGCGGTTCGCTCGCTCGGCGATGCCGTTCATTGCAGGGGAGTATGGCATGGTGAGGGAGTGCCGAATACCATTCTTCTTCAGCCACAACCCAAACTCCTTGCTCAGGAACTCTCCCCCTCGATCGGTGCGGATTGACTTGACTAGACGGTCTTGTTGCCGCTCCACCATCGGGAACCAATCCGCCTTCAACGTTTCAGCCACGTCGCTCTTCTTGGCCAGCACGTACACCCAAGTCATACGGGTGTAGACGTCCACAATAGTGAGGAAGTACTCAGCTCCAGCAGCTCCAAGCTTCAGGGGGCCCACCACGTCCATCACCACCTCATCAAGTGGTGCCTTAGCCGTTGCCTCCGAACTAGAGAATGGGAAACGGGTGAACTTGGCTTGCATGCACGTCGGGCAGCCAAGTACCTCATCAGGCTCCCCCTTCACACGTATGCCAGCAACCATCTCATTCTTTACTAGCTGCTGCAAGATGGGCAGGGCCACATGCCCCATGCGCCGATGCAAGGTGAGCCAATCACACTCCCCCGTAGCCGAAGTTGGATTGGAGAATGCCGCGCTCGCAATAGCGCCCCACATACTCTCTCCGTAGTCCTCCTCCGCTGCTGCCTCGGGGTTCTCCTCACCCTTTTGCTGCTCCTTGGCTGCTGCACCTCTCTCCATAGGTTCACCAAGCTTGCTGGTCCCTCCAAGATTGCACTTCTTGGACTCCTTCTCCTTAGCGCGACCGTCCGCGCAATCGCCGCTACCAACCGCTCCACCTTTGGTGCTGACGCTTGCTGCCACTTGCCTCTCCTTAGGCATTGGGACCACAGGGATCTGCCACATCTCGTTGTAGACATCTCTGTCCTCATGAAGGTCCCAAAGAATCCGATCGCCAAGCCTTGCGGTGTAGGTCTTGGCTCCCTTTGAGTTCGTGTCCATGCCGGCCTTTGCCAACCGCCGCACGGAAATCAGGTTGGCAGCAAGGCTGGGCACCCAAAGCACGTTCTTGAGGCCCACCATCTTCCCATCAGCACCCTTAAACATGGCCTTGCCCGTGCCTTTCACCTCCGCTCGCTGCCCCAAAGCTGATGTGACATGCTTCACCGGTGACGGTTCGAGTTCGGTGAGCAAGTCCGGGCGAGGTGTCATGCTATAGGTAGCGCCACCATCGATCACCCAATAGTCCAGAGGGTGTAGAGTCACCTTCCCCACAGCTGCTGGCTCCTCAAAGCCTTCATCCTTCTCTGGACCAGTCGGTACTTGCGTCGACACGAAGTAGAATAGACCCGGGTACCGATCGTTGCTCGGGTCCTTGTTGTTGTCTCCGCTCTTCATGTTTGCAGCTCCGCCACCGCGACCGCCACGGCCTCCACGGCCTCTTCCTCTCCCTCCTCCTGCTCCTCTACCCTCTAGGCCTTGAGCAGGGGTCCAACCATCAGGGAGTTTGTAGCAGTCGCGCCACATGTGTCCGCTCTTGTGGCAATAGTGACACTCGCCGTCGAATCGGCCGCGACCGCGTCCGTAGCTCTTGTCGTCGCTGCCGTAACCGCCACTCCCGCGGCCTCCGCCGAAGTTGCTGCCACCAAACCTTCCTCCCCCTCGTCCTCTACCTCTTCCTTGACCATATCCACGGCCGATGCTCGCTGCCCCAGCGCCATCCGCACTCGCCAACTCACGGCGGCGGAAATCCTCTTGAAGGATAGCTCGCTTCACGTCTTCAAGCGAGAGGCGGGGCAAGTCGCGATTAAGGTTGATGATGAGCGAGGACCATGACTCAGGGAGTAGGGCCAGCAACTTGGTCTTCTTTTGGAGCTCACTATAGTTCAAATCAGCTCCCTCAAGCCGCGTCAACAAGTCGAAGAATTTCTGCACCCCTTCTTCAACCGCTTCATCCTCTTCAATTCATAGTGTCGCCATTTGCCGTTCCAACACTACAGCTACCGCCGCTGTTGCAGGAGCGTGTACACCCTTGAGAGCAGCCCATGCCTTTGGTCCCTTCTCTGGTTCACGCTGGAAAGGCTTGATGTGACGGATTTGGCTGCTCCCCAACGCTTGCCCAAGTAGGAGGTAGCCTTGTGCGCTCTTCCGCACCCACGGGCTCTTCTCCGGGTCGTTCTCGGGACGCTTCTCCGTTCCTTCCATTATCTCCAGCAGGTCATAGTGGTCAAATATGTTCTCCATTATGAAGGACCACTCAGCAAAGTTGTCACCATTGAACTTGTCAAGGCCAAACACTCTAGGCTCATCCCTAGATGGGCCAACACTTGATTGCACAGGCGCCATGGCTGAATCACGGGATTGGCCTTGAGCTTGGGCTTCTCCTCTGCCACCAGCACCTCTGCCACCCCTTTCCTCAGGTCCAGCCATTGTCGAAACTGCTCCAAGGGGCTCTGATACCACTAGTTATAGTCACAATAGGCTCCAATGTGCCTAAAACGAAAGATAGAGTGCACAGCCGGATTTCTGCACAGCGGCTTCAAACGTTCATAGCGATCCGGTCACAACTTCAAATGACCTGATTCAACTTGGATCTGGAGCGTCGGAACGTCGCCTACAATAGGCAATTTAGATCGCACGATTTGACCAAGTATTGACGACACAGTGTCGGTTTGAACGAACGGCACTATGGCAGCCACTATAGTCTTAGAACACAAAATAGGAAGAGATATGAAGAGTTACGAGTTGGGAATGACTCCCAGCTCCTACAAACCCCAAGAGCCGAGGTACAGTGATGTGGAACAGTGCCACACTGTCCCCAACCACGAAGGGTCTCGAAACTACCCTTCACTAGGGCCTACACCAAGTGAAATGTTACACTACACAAAGTAATGTAACTATCTTCAATATCTTGAGGTGTACCCTTTTGGCGAGCTTCGAAATCACTTGAGGCTTGACACCAAGGCTCGGGCTCTTCATCACAAACTCATCCTTGACTTCTTGATGGGTCTTCTGCACACACCTGCGACACGCCGAACGTTCGACACAGGACAAAATAGAAACCGCGCACGACAAAATAGAAACCGCGCGCGAGACACAAACGACCGCGTAACACGCGTCTAGCGATAACTCGCTATTGACTCGACACACACACTCGACATCATGACTCAACATTCACACACAATTATAAGCATGAAATATATATTATCCCATGCCCTCATACCATTCCATACACACACACATGCACGCACACGGACAACAAGCCGAGTGCAAACCGTAGGGTTGCACCAAGAAGAACACTAGGGGTAGCCATGACAGTAGCGGCAGCAGGCTAGGGGCAGCAGTAGCAGGCGTGGCTCGGCAGTGCTCTCATCAGGACTGGTAGGTAGGGGGCGGCAAGCGGTGGGGCAGGGCCGAGGCGCGTCGGCAGGGACAGAGCCGCGACCGCGGCGTGAGTTCCTGCTGTCGGCGGCGACGGCTGCTACTGGTGGTGGCCGCCGCTGGTGTCGGCGGCTTCTGCTGCTGTCGGCTGCTGCTGGTGGCGGCGGCTGCTGCTGGTGGCGGAAGAGCCGAGGAGGGGCCGCGAAGGGTGGCGACGGGGCTACGAAGTGCGGCGACGGGGCCGAGAAGAGGCCGCGAGGGGCCGTGAAGGGCGGCGACGGGGCCGCTAGAGGCGGCGACGGGGCCGCGAAGGGCGGCGACAGGGCCGCTAGAGGTGGCGACGGGGCCACAAAGGGCGGCGACGGGGCCGCTAGGGGCGGCGACGGGGCCGCGAAGGGCGGCAACGGGGCCGATAGGGGCGGCGACCGGGCCGCTAGGGGCGGCGACGGGGCCGCTAGGGGCGGCGACGAGGCCGGAAAGGGGCCGCGAGGGGCCTCGAAGGGTGGCGACGGGGCCGCTAGGGGCGGCGACGGGGCGGCGAAGGAGCACTGTTCGCTCACAGTGGGCCACACGCGATGCTGCTGCCCGTCTTGCTGTGCGTCGCCAATTACTGACCACTGAGCGTGCGCACTTTAGCCAGTACAAGAGTGCTCAAACCTTGTACGACGCTGTAGTTGCACGCTACTCCTCCCCTGCCACTGTTGCGCTTAGCCGCCTCATGCTGCCGTACCTGTTCCCTGACCTTGCTGCCTTTCCCACGGTCGCTGACCTCATTACGCACCTTCGCACTAGTGACACTCGCTACCGCGCTGCGCTTCCTGCTGAGTTCTGCGCCAAGAACCCCCCCCCCCCCCCATGTACATCACCCTCTACTACATAGTCACCCGGCTCCTTGACTCCCTTCGCTTAGTCAGGGACCACTTCCTCTCAGTTTGCCCCACCACACTCACCGTTAACCTCCTCGAGGAGCGCCTCCTAGCAGCAGAGATGAGCATAGTCGCTGTAGGAGCCTCTCATGGTGACCCTCGCACCCCTATTTTTGAGGGGTGTTCCCCCTCCCCCCTCTTGCCCTCTGTTGCCTCTGCTGCTGCTGCCGACCTCGTTGGTTTCTACGGGGTCGGCGCTGCGTCTGCCCCTAGCGGGAGACGCCGCACCGGCAAGGGCAAGGGGGGCAAGGGCGCAGGAGGGGCTGGCGGGGGCGGTGGAGGTGGTGGTGGAGGCAGTGGAGGGGGTGGGGATGGTGGTGGGAGTGGTGGCGGGGGTGGAGGCGGCGGTGGCAGCAGTGGAGGCGGAGGAGGCGACGGTGGTGGCGGAGGGAGCGGAGGCGGAGGAGGTGGCGGAGGCGGCGGAGGTGGCGGAGGCGGTGGAGGCGGCGGCAGCGGCGGAGCTGGTCGAGGCTCTGCGCAGAGGAGTGCGTCCGGTGGTGGTCCGCGCCAGCAGCAGCAGCGCAGTCGTGAGACCCTATCCCCTCAGCACCTTCGTGAGTGGTACGCTACGCGTCAGCGCGGGGGCCCGCACTCCACTCAGCGCTGCTTCGGCCGCCTGACAGACACTTGGCGTCACCAGTTTGCTGAGGCCTCAGAGATCCCTCGCTGGGGAGATCTGTCTAGAGCGGGGGTTGCCATCTTTGATCTTGACTATGATGCTATTCTTGCTGCCTGCGTCTCGCCCTGCGTTGCCTGTCCGTCCTGCTCGCACTAGTGGTCGTGGTTCGCGTCAGCGTCCTCCTCCTGTCCCTGGCACGCACCGGATGTCTCTACGTCTGTCCACTGCTCCTCTGCGTGCCCCTTTGCCTTCTCCTCCTGAGTCCTCTCTTCCTGCTCTTGCTGACCCAGAGTCGGACTCCCTTCGTGCTGCCAGTCCGACTGTCACGCGTCTCCTTGCTACTGTTGTCGCTGACCCTTCCTTTGAGTCCACTGTTGCGTCTGCCCTAGTTGCTGAGCTCGTCGACTTTGCTGCTCGTTGTCGTCTAGACTACGCTGCTAGTCTTGTTGCTGCGTTTGAGTCTGTCTATCCTCCGTCCGTCGGGGGTGAGTGTGCCCTTGGCACGGACGTTCTTGAGGACAGGCAGGAGGAGTTCCAGTGTTTGGCTGCTGCTTCACCTCATCTCGTGTCCGTACTACTTACCCCTGAGGGAGACCCGGATGCACTTGACATCCCGACTCCGCGCTCTTACGCGGAGGCGATAGAGGGTCCCTACTCCTCTCAGTGGCAGGCAGCTATGGACGCAGAGATGGCTTCCTCGAAGTCCATAGGCACCTACTTTGACGAGGTTCCCCCGCCTGGGGCAAACATCGTCAGTGGCTGTGGATTTTCAGGGTGAAGCGGCCGCCGGGTTCTCCGCCTGTCTTCAAGGCGCGTTACGTGGCTCGTGGCTTCAGTCAGCGGCAGGGAGTTGACTACTTTCAGACCTTCTCTCCCACCCTGAAGATGACCACTCTTCGGGTACTGCTGCACATAGCTGCTCACCGTGACTACGAGCTACACTCTCTTGACTTCAGCACTGCTTTCTTGCAGGGCAGCCTGCACGAGGAGATCTGGCTGCGCCGCCCACTTGGCTTCACTGGGACTTTTCCTCCTGGCACCCAGTGGAGCCTCCAGCGGCCAGTCTACGGTCTCCGCCAGGCACCGCGTGAGTGGCACGACACACTGAGGACTAAGCTTGCGGCTCTTGGGTTTGCTCCCTCTACTGCCGACCCATCGCTGTTTCTGCGCACCGACACCTCTTTGCCGCCGTTCTACATCCTCGTGTACGTCGACGACTTGGTCTTTGCCACAGCTGACACTGCTGGACTCGCCCACGTGAAATCTGAGCTGCAGAAGAGACACACGTGCACAGACCTGGGTGAACTGCGCAGCTACCTTGGCTTGCAGATCACCCGGGACAGAGCACGCCGCACCATTACCCTGACTCAGTCGCACATGGTGCAGCAGGTCCTTCAGCGCTTCGGCTTCACGTACTCCTTGCCTCAGGCCACTCCTCTGCCTACTCGCCACTCGCTCTTAGCTCTGCCTTTGGATGAGTCCGTAGAGTCGAGTGGCCCGTAACCAGAGCGTGTTGGCTGCCTCATGTACCTGATGACCTGCACACGACCTGACCTTGCATACCCTCTTAGCATTCTCGCACGCTATGTTGCTCCTGGGAGACACAGACCGGAGCACATGGCTGCAGCGAAGAGGGTGTTGCGCTACTTGTGCAGTACGTCGGGCATGGGGCTTGTGCTTGGAGGGCAGAGTCCAGTGGTCCTCACTGGGCACGCAGACGCTTCTTGGGCTGACGACCAGGCTACGCAGCGGTCGTCACAGGGTTACACCTTCAGCCTTGGTTCCGGCTCTGTTTCGTGGCGGGCTACCCCCCGTCTTCTGTTCTCGGCTCAAGTTGTGAGGCTGAGATCTACGCAGGGACCATGGCTGCACAGGAGCTTCGCTGGCTCACCTACCTGCTGACTGACCTCGGAGAGCCGCCTTGTTCTCCTCCAGTGCTGTACGTAGACAACAAGGCCATGCTGGCCTTGTGTCGGGAGCAGAGACTGGAGCACAGAACGAAGCACATTGCTCGTCGCTACTTCCTTGCTCGTGAACTACAGCAGCGTGGTCACCTGCGCCTTGCGTACGTGGCCTCTGAGGCCAACACTGCTGATATCTTCACCAAGGCACTTGCGCCTTGTGATCATCAGCGCTTCTGTACTCAGCTCGGTCTTGTGAACTGGCCTTGTGGCCTTGAACTTGTGCTCGGAATGTGTGGTGACGTTGTGATCCACCCTGAGCTTGCTTTGCTTTGCTTGACTGGTCTTGTGACCCCTTGTCCTCCCCCACTTTGCCTATGGGGGTGTGTCAGATTTATATGACTTAGCTGCTGTAGGCTATATTGGGGTAGCACATATGGGGTACAGCTCTCTAGGGTTTGTACTTGTACCCAACTTTCCCTTAGTCTTTTCATTCTCGTTCAATTTCACATCTACCTCCCCTTGTCTCTACGAACTTGGTGAGTGGAGCTGGTCTACAGGATAAAGGGGTTGCCTAGTTCACTCCTGCGAGTCAGCGGGTGACCCACTTCACGTGTGCTCGGACAGGCCGACACTTGGCCACGTGTACCCGTCCGCCGGGGTCGAGCCTGTACACACTCACTACTGATTCTCCTCCGGTTACTGAGTCTGGTCAGGTAGCTGCGTCAAGTCTGGTGTTTGCAGCAGCGTCCAGGTCTGGTCCTGAGTCTGCTCCTTGCTCGTGTCGTCTCCTGTCCCACCAGACTCTCCTTTGGCACCACCGCCTTGGTCACCCCTCCCTGCCTCGTCTCCGAGGCATGGCCTCCCGTGTCCTTGTCTGTGGTCTCCCCCGGTCTCTCCCTCCCCTACCTCCGGGGCCTGCCCCTACCTGCGTCCCCTGCATGGAGGGGCGACAGCGCGCCGCCCCTCACTCCTCCGAGTTTCCTCCGACAGAGGCTCCGCTGCAGACTCTTCACATGGACGTGTGGGGCCCCGCCCGCGTCCGTGGCTAGGGGCACGAGCGTTATTTCCTGTTGGTGGTTGACGACTACTCGCGTTACACCACAGTCTTCCCCTTGCACAGCAAGGGTGACGTCACTGAGGTGTTGATCGACTGGATCCGCGCAGCTCGTCTCCAGCTCAGAGAGAGTTTCGGCTCGGACTTTCCTGTTCTGCGTCTGCACTCTGACAGAGGCGGGGAGTTTTCCTCTGCCCGTCTGGGACCCTTCTGTCGAGCACAGGGCATCCGCCAGACCTTCACGCTTCCGGCCTCTCCACAGCAAAATGGGATTGCTGAGCGCCGCATTGGCATGGTCATGGACGTCGCTCGTACGTCCATGATCCATGCGGCTGCCCCCCATTCTCTGTGGTTGTTTGCAATTCAGTACGCATCAGCTCAACCTCCAGCCCCGGGTCTCCTTGCCAGAGACCTCCCCCACCATGCGGTGGACGAGGAAGGTTGGCGATGCGTCTGCGTTTCGGGTCTGGGGATCTCGAGCGTTTGTTCGAGACTTGTCTGCGGACAAGCTGTCCCCCCGTGCTGTTCCCTGCGTCTTCCTTGGCTTCCCCCCTGACGCGCCTGGGTGGCAGTTTTACCACCCCACCTCGCGCCGTATTCTGTCCTCCCAGGACGTCACCTTTGACGAGTCAGTGCCCTACTACCGTCTCTTCCCCTACCGCACTGCGCCCCTCCCCCCGCCGCTACTCTTCCTTGCGCCAGGTCCTCCCCCGATAGAACCCCTCCCCCCTCAAGGTCCTGCCCCGTCAGGTGTGTCCCAGGTAGACGCAGTCGAGCCTGTCAAGGTAGCTGTTGACTGTGGTGCTGCTAGAGGTGCTGAGCCTGCGGGTGCCGGGTCTGGGGGTGCTGAGCCTGAGGTTGCGGAGCCTTAGGGTGCTGAGTCCAGGGGTGCGGAGCCTGGGGGTGCTGAGCCTGGGGTTGCTGAGTCTGGGGGTGCTGAGCCTGGGGTTGCTGAGTCTGGGGGTGCAAAGCCTGGGGGTGCTGAGTCTGGGACTGCTGAGCCAGGGGGTGCTGGGTCTGCTCGGGTGGCCTCGCGAGGTACTTCTTCGAGGCGGGAGCCACTCTCTCCACAGGAGCTGCGCGAGTGGTTTGCCTAGTGCTGGAGCCGTGCTGCTCGAGCTGGCGGTGCTACTGTTGCTGCTGGTCCTGGAGGGGCTCGTCATTACGGTTCTGGAGCTGCTGGGACTGGGGGTGCTGCTGGGGCTGCTGGAGGTACTGCTGGAGCTGCTGGCGGTACTGGAGCTACCGGTCCCGCTGGAGTTGGTGCTGGT